CCATTAAGATGTTCTTTTTCCTTTTAAAATATTCTACTTGTAATTGTCTGTTCAAATAGTCAACTACCAGGGACATCAGTGCCCTGGTAAATGTTTTCATTTCTGCTCCAAACTTATTTTCAATTGAAAGTTTGTTCACTGGTGCTTGATGCTACTATTTGAATCTTTATGATTAAAACATTCCTAGATTTCTTCTGTAAATATTTTATACTATGGAGATATTTAAGGTATATATTAAAATCCACTTCAACTATGTACTTTAACATACTTCTACTGGATAAAAAAATGTCCTCGCCTCCCTGGGCAGAAAGGAAGCACAGTGGATGTAATGACCATTGTAGCCATTAACATTAACGGTATTTTTGATGCCGCAAAATAACAAAAGATTACAGATAAATGTCAAAATCAAGAGTGGGATGTTTTTAAATTTCTCTGATGTATCTGGCTAGAAAAAGGTTGCTTTAGGATGAGTTCAGTTGAATTTTAGAACACAGAGAACAAAAGTTTTCATGTCAATTATCTCCAGATGAATTCATGCCAGCACACGCAGCTCCCCAAACACAAACCACGTGTGTCAGAGAGAAAACTGTCCTTGAAAAAATGGAGGTGAAAACCTTTGTTGCTAGGTATCCTCACACATGCACACAGAGACCACTGCATATAGAATATAAAGTTTCTGAAAAAATTACTGCAAGATAATGGAAATTAGGATTTTAAAAAGTGAGAACATTAACTTGGAAAAAATATATTTATAGATCTTTACTAGATACTGAGAAATTCTAGGAGAAGTTCAAAGTTCATATCCATTGAGCACAGACTAGTTATCTATTAACTTGACAAGAATAAACACTTTTAACATATATGCATTTAAAAAATATATATTACATAGATTTATATCTAATATAAATTAATTATATACATTAAATATAATACATATTATATCTTAAGTGTATATATTTTAAAAGTTCTTATTCTTGTCAGAGGTTAATATATTTTATATATATATATAGTTTTTTGTTTTCTCTAAGGTGCTGAGGGTGTGACAGTTACCCTTGCAACTCGAAGTGTTGTCTGCAGACGACCAGCAGCAGGACCAGCACCACCTGACAGCTTGTTAGAAATTCAGCAACGCCCAGACCTACTGAAGCAGAATCTGCATGTTAACAAGATCCTCAGGTGAACTGTATGCCCTTCAAATACTTAAAATTCGAAGATCCTTAGTCAAAATTACCAATATTTTTTTATGCATTGTTTGCTAGAGGACAGTAGATCTGTCTGCTAATTCAAACCATGTTTTTACTTCCTTGATGTAAATAAACTACGTTTGATGATTCTAAAACTTCTAACCAGATTTTAAGGATCCAACCAGATATCAAAACCATCCAATAATCATTAAAATTTTTGAAGGGGGCAAGAAGGCAATCTGTTCCTTTATTACCCCAGGCATATGATCAAAGTGGAAACACAAACACTGTTCACTATGACACCATAGTAGTCCTGTATTTAATATGTATTTTACATTTGAAATGGTTAAGTCAACCTAATTTCATGAAATAAAGTCAATCATTATTTTATTAATAGATTAAGCCTTTCTTTAAAAAAAAAGTTTAAGAAATCTCCAAGATACTTTTATTGGCACTAAATATCTTTATTTCCCATCTTCTCTTTTAAACTCCTTTAAATCATGCTTTAAATTCTGGGGGACTCCGAGACTATTCCTGCACGCCAAGTCTGCAGAGGACCTCTCCCCTCCTGAGCGTGGCCGTTCATTAGGCTTCCAGAGAAGGAGGTGCTCTCCCTCCTGCCTCCACCCCACTCTGCCTCCAGCTACCAGGAAGGAAGACGGCCCCCTTTACCGTCCAGAAACAAACTTGACTGACAGAAAGAAGTCAAGTTATAGGGATGAAAGGAAACACAATCCTGGACGGTCACAACCGGGATAATTAGCCTCCACCAAGCGTTCTGGGAGGTAATTGAGTTGTCCTAGTTACAAGGATAACGATTTCTACTGGAAATAATACAAATTCCTTGGTAGCTAAAAATTTCAATCACATGGATAAAAGATTACCTGCTACCTCAGGACCATTGGAAATATGATTGTTTTCCATGATGTTTTTAGTTCTGTTGCAAAGTTAACATTATTGAATATATATATGCATATATATGTATACACGCACACACATACATAAACATAATCATATACATCAAGACGTGCACATTTCTTAATAATTAACCCCACAGAAGCAAAGAAGCTTTGTAGGAAACTACATAAACATCCAAAAATCTTCACAATTTAAAATAAACAGTAAGGACATGTTATAGTTGAATTGAAAAATCTTAGCTAAAATCAGATGTTTTAAAAACAAGAGTCAAAAGCAACCATTTAACTAGTATTTATAAGACCATTACATACTAATGTAAGTGTATAATATGAGGTTTAAAGTAATAAATGAAGGGAAGCTCTCTGTGTAATAAGAGTGCCCTCACCTCTGCACTAATATGTTGCAACGTGCCTCCGGGCATTGGCCTTGGCTCCAAAGGAGGGAAAATGCTTAGTGAAGAAGAGAACACTAAAAGCAGACCTCTTGCATGTCCGACCACGTTGATAGTCACATCATATGTAATTTTAAACAGGAAGCTAATGTCTTAATTGTAGAAGTAAAACTTAGTGACAGGGACATACTATAAGTCATTTCCCTCAGCCCTCACATCCAGTGACGTATCAGAGGCAGCCCAGGCAAGGAAGGAGGTAGGCACGGACTTGGGAAAACCTGGGTTCAGATCCGGGCTCTCCCCTGAAGCTCTGTGGCCTTGGTTAAATTTCTTAGCGTCTCCTAGCCTTAGTTTTCTTATCTGTAAAAGTGTGTGTTTGGGGCTTGGCCAGGGGTTTGAAAGTTTGGATCCCGGGCGCGCACCGCCGCACTGCTTGTCAAGCCATGCTGTGGCGGCGTCCCATATAAAGTAGAGGAAGATGCACACGCATGTTAGCCCAGGGCCAATCTTCCTCAGCAAAAAGAGGAAGATTGGTGATGGATGTTAGCTCAGGGCTGATCTTCCTCACACACACACACACACACAAAAAAGGGTGTTTTTGTGAATACGGCCACAGAGCAGGTAAAGCAGCCAGCAGAGGGCCTGGCACTCAACATGTGGTGAACACAGTGCATATTATTATCATTATAATTCTTAGTATTAGAGATATGCAAATGGGAACCACCATTTCTACAAAAACATTATTTATTGCTTTAAAACCTCATCATGGATATTTCCCGGCCTGTGTCAGAACCAACTTACTTTAAACATTTCTCACATGGAGATGCTATTAACTTTTAAGTGATTAAAAGCAGTCTCATCATATTCAATCTACCAACTCCATCATATGTTGAAGAATTTTTTTAAAGGCATCAACTTGATTAGATTGATCATACAGTGATATGTATTGAAAATGCTTTCCCACTTTTGAAATATTTCAATCCCTCTCCTGCTTCCGTTAGTAACCTAAGGGAGGAGGCACAGATTCAAGTATAGGATTTATTCACACTTGTGCTACAGTAGAAGGGGCTTTGGAGAGATGGCATCAGCATGCAGGCTGCCAGAATGGTCCTGAGACCACCATGGGCATAACATCTGGGACAAACCAATGAGGTTAATTTATTATAAATGATTCCCCAAGGATTCTGAAATACTGGTCTTGCCACCATCTGAATGGGCTAAGCCGACGTGCTGTACAGAAATTCTTCCACTGGTTATATAGACACAGTAATAAATCCATTGCAAATGTCAGGAAGGTATCTATGTCCAAAATATCTGTCTGAGCTAACAGAAGTGATGCTCAGACACAATGATTTTACAGTATGTCTAAAATTAATTCTTCTGTGTCATTTCCTGACGAAATCCTTGCTCTTTGAAAACAGGCAATACAGTTTTTATTGCATTTAAGTTGTTTTTTGGTGAAAAGAAGGAAAAGGAGTTCAAACTTAACTTTCCATGAGCAGCCATATGGTCATTCTGCTTGTGAATTTACACAATATAGTTGATATACATCACAGTCAGATATGTATGTTATGTACTCACAAGCAAACTGAACCATTAAATAGGAGACCACCTGTTTCAAATGCATTTTACACCGTAGACAATAGGAACCAGAAATACTTGGCCTACAATATTTAATTCTATTTTTCACAATTAAGAATAACTAATAATACATTCTTAGATATAGAGAAATAGGAAAGGTGATGTTTTTCATATTTTGTGATAGTTTTACATTGATTTATTTTTCAGAATATACTAAAATAAATTTAATCTATTTTCAATAAATGTTAGTAATTTTTTTGTTTCCTGAAAACAATCAGACTGTAGCTTAAGAAACTGCAATGGTGGATCTAATCAATCCTACTTCATATACAAATTGAAGCAAATTTCATAATTCATTTTAGAAGGACATATTAGAAACCTATATTGAAAAATGACTTATTTGATTCTGGATTCACATGACAACATTTGAAACTAGTGGTCTAGCTAACACAGGCAACCATGCAGAAAGAGTTACAACAGTCATAGAAATACTAAAGCAATTCCTAATGGCTGAAAGTAAAGAAAGAATGAATAAGAATGGGGTCCCGGTTTCAGTGTTGGTAACTTATTACTGAGTTCATGTCAATAAAATCAGGTCCCTTCCAAACACAATCATGTAAACTATTTTTGTTGGCTCGAAAGAGACTGCATTCTGTTAGATACATGCAGCATTGAAAATCTAGCCTGATATTTAAAAAAAAGGCTGGAAAAAGTAACTTTTCCTCCATTTTCCTCAATAACTCAGTTTTATTTTAAAGTCCAACTAAAAACTCTAGGACTCTTTTATAACATCCTGGCCATGTCATATCCTTTCCTTTCCCACCCACCACCAATCCTCTAAACAAAATATAAAACAAAATCCCCACCCCCCAAACAAAACAATATTGAGCAAAGAACTCAACAATTTTTTTTTTAAACGGTGAAAACACTGATCACATTATTTTCACTTCAATCACTTAACTCATCTAAATGAATGCTTCACGAATGCTAAGTGTTCCCGTGGCTCAAGAGAGACTCCAATATAAAGATCTTAAGGAAAGCATCTCAGCCTTTTGGCCAGGCAGTGGAAGTGCTTGGTAAATGCAGAATTTAGTGTGCAGGATCCTCCCATGCGGAATGCTGCTACACATCGCTGGGGGACCGTGCTCTCTGGGAGAGACTGGACGGGATACAGCCACAGCAAATGAGACAGAGGGCTTTCTGGATCTCTTGGTTTCTGAAAGCGTATATGACAGGGTTGATGATAGAGTTGTAGGTGGCGGGCAGGAGCGTGGCATAGGTGTAGATGGAGGGGTAGGTGTAATCAGCTATCAAGGAATAGAGGGTGAAAGGCATCCAGCAAGCAGCAAAGGTCCCCAGGATGATGGCCAGGGTCGAGACCCCCTTCCGGGTGGTCACGTAGTGCGAGGTGGCCAGGAAGTGGTGCTGCAGGGCTATCTGATGGGCGTGCCTCATCACAATCTTACAGATCTGGACGTAGAGCTGAAGCATAAGCGCAAACATGAAGAGGAAGGAGACAGAAAGGATGGCTGCGTTGTTCTTGGTGAGAGGTCTGATCACACTGCAGGTGGACTCGTCTCTGAGGCAGTTCCAGCCCATGATGGGCAGCAGTCCCAGGCAGATGGAGGTCCCCCAGAGCATGATGAGCATGACATAGGTAAACGTGACCGTCCTCTCCGAATGGTATGTCAGAGCGTAATACAGGGAGAGGTAGCGGTCAACAGTGATAGCCAGCAAGCTGCAGACAGAGGCAGAGAAAGAGGCGACAATGAGTCCGATTGTGACCAGCTTGGTGGCTTCTGACTGAAGCAGGTAGGCAAAAACAAAATTGATGATGAGGCCAATGCCGGCCAGCAGGTCTGCAAGAGCCAGGCTGCCTATGAGCAGGAACATGGGTGCTCGCAGGCTGGGGTTATGGAAGATGATAAGGACCACAACGGCATTTTCACAGGAGATGAGGGTTCCCGAGGTACACAAGACAATGTCCCAAGGGTTGACAACCAGCTCTGGCTCTGGCTCTACGACAGGAACCTGGGAGGAGACGGCCGCTGAGACGTTCTCCGCAGCACCGGCATCTAAATAATCCCGAGGCAGCCCGCTTAAATTGACCTTCAGGTCTTCATTCATTTTAACCCCTGTCCTCTTCAACGAAAAGACAGGCTTTTTAATGTTTAGATACAGCAGGTGACAATCCAAGATCATGCAAAAAACACACAGAAAGCCAGCCACTACTCAGACACTACTACCAAATTCCACAAGCTTCGTGAATTATAAACTGTTATGAAATAAAACAAAAGCCAAAGTCTCCGTGGTTTAAAACCCACAAGAAAAAACGCCGTTTGGCACCGGGGAAAACACAGGATAAGACTTCAAAACACGAGCGTGAGTGAGGCAAGCACACACGGAATCGCGGCGGTCTGTTTGCTAAAGTGCTGGGAACACACATTTGAAAATCACATCTTGCATGCTGAAAACGAACAACTGTTTGACATCTGAGCTGCTGCCGAGAAAACCACGCCGCAGCGACAAGTCGCGAGCCGGGGGCCGCCATCCTCGATGGAATATTTAAATCGCCTATTCCATCGAACTCCCACCCTCCAAAAAAATCCCTCGCGCGCGTGCACACACTCATACACACTCCTCAGCCAGAACAAAGAGGGGTCCCAGACGTCCCCTGTGCCCGGGGCAGTCGGGGCACGGCCACAAAAGGCAGGTGTGTGCAATGAGGTGTGGAGACAGACAGACAGATGCCCATGCACTGCCGCCGCTCCCCTAGTGGCGGGGACGGGCGGCGGACGCGAGGGGGACAGACAGGGCGCCGGGCCAGGCGGCCCGCGGGGGCGGGGGTCAACAAGGGGGATTACCTTGGCGCGCCCAGGCCGAGGGGCTCCTCCGGTGCTTCCGAAGCGCGCAGGCTATTGGTGTCGCATGTCGGCGCCGGGTCCGTGGCGGCGAGGGGCGGCGGCCGCGCTTGGGAATCGGCTGGGAGGGCGCGGGGCGCGCGCTCCACGC